TATTATTTTGGTTCTAGCGTTATACAAATTCATTATCGTTGTTACTTTTATCGCTGTCAAGTGTGTTCAAGTTTTAACTCTACAAGACTTATTAATTCTCTGCTCGGATTACACCCCTGGGGCGGGGCAAACAAACTAACCCTGTTAGTTTGCACCCGTCCTCCATTGAACAGCAGGTCTAAACGATCATTCAGGGGAAACTATTTTAAATTCATAAACCTTTGAGGGTAAAGCACTTCTAATTTTTGTTATTAGTTCAAGACTAAAAAACCTGGAGATAAGGCTGTACTTCCTTTTTCACTTATAAGCCGTGCTCAGTAATAGCTTTATTTCGTCATTTTTAGATAGACGTAAACCAAAGCTCTTCCGTTTTCAGTGTTAACAGGTACGATTTCCCGATGGTACCGTTAAGAGGGCTAATAAGAATGCGCGTCTATTGTAGACCATTACTACGAATATTAGAGTTCTCACTATTTAAAGACACAGCTGGTATAACCGACATAACCGGCCATGCGGCATCAAAAGTGAATTCACGCCGGGCTGGGTTGCGCCTAAAAATGGCACGTTTTCTGTCAGCAACCAAGCCAATTTTCACGGCGTTTAGAATATCAAACTCTGCTGGCAGGGTATAGTGCAAATATTTGGGAAGTTGAGAATAGTTGCCCCGGATATGATGGGATGCCACTGGAAGACAGTCCTTCATATTTTGAATGTAAACGTCAATATATATATATAATTTATCATGATCAATCTTCACTTTAAACGGTTTATCCGTTTGGTTATTTGTCGCCGCTAGCTATTACTCTGAAATCTCGCGCATCAGAGTTATACAGTTATTTCGAGAAAGGTTGTCGAAAAAACTGTGCACGCAACAATCCCGAAAGGTATTATGGGATATAATTAATAACTGTAGCTGTCGAATCTACCTTGATTGCTTTCCTTTAGCAATCGCAAACATAACATCGCAAATATCCCGTGCCATTCTTTCAATTTTCTTTGAAGAACAGTGCACTCAAAACCACCCACAATACCTTTCGCGATTGTCGCGTGCACTTTTTCCGACAACCTTTCTCGAAATAGCTGTATACCATTAAAGGTTAGGATAAATCGGTTTACGTTTAGTGTTGTCCGCTCCGCTTTTTAATTTCGTTGATTTCTGACTGAACATTGCAAATTGAATCCTCAAATATAAAGCACATATACACTACACTTTCTTCGCTGTGATTTTATAAGTAGGAAGATTTAGCAATTATATATAGTAAACCCCTTAACAGTCTTGAATCAGATATGTACCCCTTGGAAACAGCATAGGACTGAATCGTCAGCTATCTCAGCGGTGATGTCATTGGCAAGAGGTGTACCGGCGGAATGTACATTCCGAGACTTCATAAGAATTCATAATTCTGCTTATTCAAAGTTCCTGTCTAGAGAAAGGTTTAAATTCCGCGACGTTGTTTGATATTTTTACTTGCGGTTTGCTTGCGGCTCTTATAGGTAAAATATCGATCACGGTTTCACTCACAACTTTAAGTTTAGAATTTTTATGGATAGTAGCCAACCCGTATTCATTTTGGTTTTAATTAATTTAAATTTAAGATCTTTAGATAAAACCTTCCTGAATTTCCCTGGGGAGGATACAAAAAGTCTCCTCGAGACGTTCATGTGCGCAGGGCTAACGTCATCTTCTTTCGCCATTTCAGGAAAAATTCCGGCTGAGCTCGAGTAAAAAAACTGGCTACTTACTGAAAGTTATTTCTATGAACGCATTCCAAAACATTTTGCGTTTTCCCAAAATAGCGCTTTCTAACAGAAATCTATATTTTTTGTCTGCAAGTTTTTTAAAGTGTTTAAACCATTGAGTCTTCGCGGACGCCATTTAAAGATCAACTAAAAATATTGTTTTATTCCTCCAACGAGGAGCATTTCCGAAAAATAGAATGTCATCTCTTCCAAAATAATTACTTGACTTAATCCCACGTATTATTCCGTTCTGTCGCTTGCAGTGTTTTGTCTGAACCTGTTGGTCATCCAACGTAGTGGAAAGTGGGGATGAAAGCCTTTGAATATTATGGCACGGGAGCTTCTGGGCTTCTAGATGCCAATTAAACATTTTGACGTCATTAGAAAAAATCACTTTAATTTATATGTTTTTATTTCTGGCAAAATATTGCCTAGAGAAATCATGATATTATACCTTACGAAAATATTAAGAAAATCTTACTAAAGTTTCTGAAGATTTTAAGAATCCATGATTAATTGTAATTTGTCAGAGGTGAGTCCGGGGTCAAAATTGATGGGATAAAATAGAGGTACACTATTGGCGTCCAACTACCTCCACTGTTACGTGAGAGTATTTAAGTATTTTTCGATCAAGATCGTATGAAATAACCACTATAAGTTAAGCACAGCAAATTCCAACAAATAAACTGCATTGTAACAAAAAAAAAAACATCCGCCCACAGTAACAGCAATAAATAATAAAACAAAAATGAAGAAAGAAAAAGACAAATTAGCTTAATATTTAACACCTATTTCATCAACATTTCACACTTGGCAAACGTACGTGTGGCAGCACCTTTCAAAATAATATTTTTAACCAAGGAAATTTTTAAACCTATATTTCCCCCCTGATTTGGAAAGAATTTTCTGGGCGCTCTTGCAACCCCCCCGGATGTTGTTAGTCAAGCACAACACTGCCTTTTACACTTGATGCTAATTAACATTTCATCTTCCGAAGAAGGCAAAATTTTGGGTTTAAAATTGAACAAAAACCGCCGAGTTTGGTAGTGTATGCTCCTTGCTGAATTATGGGCTTTTCATTCATTTCACTATTAAAGTCTAATACAGCATCGCTAAGTTCTTAAACTTAAAATAATCAAAAATCAAAGTTTTGAGATGTCCTGAATGGTGTTCGATTGAAACGTGGTGCATGAAATTATGGTTTAGAGTGCGTTTAAAGTCTTTTCATTTTTCAGCACATATTTAGTAATAAATATTTTAATTTTTTAGAAGCTGTTTTTACTTGGTATGATATATCTGTTCTACTTTTAATGTTTTACTGTACTAGGTGGACAAAGCATATGACACAGGAGATTACGAAAGGGCAAGAAGACTCTCAGCCATTACCAGACGGTTGAATATTTGATAGCTTCTTTCACCTGCCGTTTAATCTTTTTTGTTGGTGAAATCGGTATAAATTGGCTTATCTCGCAATGTATTAACAAAATAAAGCAATTTTATTAAAACTACGGGTTCAGGTGAATTATCAACTAAAAAATCTATTTTAAAATTTCAAATACATGTATAATATGAACATAACGTTCTGAATTTCGGGTCCATCTTTGAATTTACTTAGGGTTTGCTGCCCTTAGAATGTTCCTCTTTTTTACTCATACATCCGAGAGGACTGTTCTTAATATTACTTCCAGTTCCTGCTTTTCAAAGTACGTGTTTTGTCCACATTTCGTTTACACTTATCCTTCATTTTCCCAAGTTGGTGAATTCATGTAAAGCATGAAAATATCACTCAGCGAAAGTAAGGGCTCAGACAAACGTATACTAATAGTAAACAAGCAAATATGAGATTTAGCCAAGGCTAAAAGCGACGCCTAATAAGAGCAATTAAACTCTAAACCACTAAAAAGAATTCTTCTTCTGAGGGACGGGCTTGGTGATTAAGAACAAATATCCCGCAAACAACACTAATAAAATGAAAACTCTCCAACCATGTAAGCTGAAGGTCTTAATATGTTTTTGTTTACAGCAAAATAAAAAAAAAAACGCTTTAATGCGCAATACTCCGTTCGGTAGCACCAAATTTACAGGTTACGATTTCTAGAGTCAATATTTCTGTTTAAAGTAAAGACCAAAAAGAATAAGCGGGCCGAACTGGTAGGTCATTGATTCACCTTTTTCACATTGCCCATAATACGCCAAGCGTTAACAGCTAAATATTTGTTTTCCATTTTCTCCCCGGTGTTACAGTCGTCTCAAGAGCGACATGAACGTGATTAACATCAATCTGGATTGTTATGTGCACGTGAATATAATGGTGAATGCAAGAATACTACCCTATTGCACTACAACCACACCATCGCTGGCATCAGCACGTGTAGTCGTGGTATTCGTTCTCACTGATAAATAGGATTTACTGCGCAATATATGTGATTTACTGTACAATAAACTAAGTACGTTTTGTAGACTTTCCTGTAACGGAAAATAATCACACCAGTTTTATTTAGATCGAGTTTGAAGATGGTTGGAAGGAAGTAACAAGAGGCCTTGATGTAATCCAGTTCCTTTACATCACAACAGATAGTTTCCACCTTTAAGCTGATAAATGAAGTGTGACGATGAAAAATTCCGCTATGCAGTTATATTGTTGGCAAGAACAAAAAATCCGTATGGGAAGTTGTAAAGTAATTTTTCTTGAAGGCATTGAGAAATCCGATGATGTCACTGGAGAAACGGCCGGTGACCGCTCAAGGTTACTACCGGTCATACAAAAATTCCGCTATGCAGTTATATTATTGGCAAGAACAAAAAACCCGTATGGGAAGTTGTAAAGTAATTTTACTTAAAAGGCATTGAGAAATCTGATGATATCACTGGAGAAACGCTATAAGAGGATGAGATAGCTGTTGGAAAAGTCATCCATATCGAGAAAGCAGCGATTGAGGTTTAAACATTTTTCCAAGTCTCTACATATTATTTCTCCTTGATCTCTTCTCAGGTAAGAATGACTTTTTAATTTTTGACATCATTATATTAGCTAACTTAGCAGACAATTTTAACTGATTAAACTTAAAATGCTGTGGCTATATGGCTGGTAACCGGTCAAGGTTTTCAAAATACTAAATGACCGCCAGTCTTTCGCTTCGTGCAACTCTCGGGCTTCTTTCGTGCTTAGCAACCTCCCGCGTGCATCTATAACTCGATGGTTGCACGCTGCACGTTTACCATTTCTTAATTTGTACTTTCAGCTTTTTTATATTCAAGCAATGGCCGATCACAACGATATTCAAGGTACGTAAGAATAAGTCATCGTGAGGAAACAGTGCAGTGTGATCTAAATAATACGAGCCATGATACTAAATACAAACTCTATTCCATAGTTCAGCCCAGATATCCTGGCTACCCGATGCAACCGTACCCACAAGAAAGGCCAACTTCCACGAGTGTGACTTTGCAAGTAAGCTCTTCATTAAGTTTAATTCAATAATATCTTTGTACCAGTAACGTTTTACGCGATCAAAAAGCTTAATGTTTCGTTATTCACCACTATTTTCGTATTTTCAGCCCAATTCAACAGCTCAGCCTCCTCGTCCATGGAATTGGATGGCTGTATCAATTTTTACCACCTTGTTCTGTTGCTTTCCATGTGGTGTATCAGCCATTGTACACAGTCGTAAGGTAAGAAATAACCTTAAGTTGTTTTGTTCCCTCCACCAAGTTGTGATGGGTCTAGGTAAGTGCTACACGGGAGGGATATGGCGCCCGGTTCTTTAAATTCAGGCCTAGCTGTTGTTTTAGAAAACAAGAAAAGGCTAATTTTTTAGTAGCTAGTTTAGAGCACCCTACCTTTACTTGAGTTTTGTACGTTCAAATTTATACTACACATAGTTGCAGAAAACGTCTCGAACCATCACTTAGGAACCCCGGCACATAACACCCGTAAAGTATTTTTGGGGAGTAACCCTGGCAGACAAAGTCAAAGGCACTACAATTTATAAAGTTTAACTTCAAATTACCAAAACAAAACAGCAAAGACAAGAATAGCATGTAAATTACAATCTTACTGAGGTACTGTATTTGTTGGTTCTCTCCCTTGCTCAAAGAGGTTTTTCTCCGGGTACTCCATTTCAGGAGACCAAGAATCAGGTAGACGAATGGCCACTTAGTGGATATGCTACCTCTAAATCGTTATTAATTTATTATTTATTTAGGTGTATCTTGCATAAGATACGAACGAAACGAAAAATTTAAGTCATGGTTGCCTCAGATCTATATTGGCTACGGGTTCTGACAACACTTTAAAAATGCCTAAAAGACTCAGTAAAAACATCTGGGCAAACAGTCGTCTTTATGTTAGTTCATCTATGCCCCCCTTTGGCTTTCCTTTTCTCCTTAACGCTTGAGCAGTTATTAATGGGTTTAATTTTCTTTGACCAGTTGACAAGTGCTGAAATCGGCTTATATTGTCACGTGTCCTAGCACCTTTTAGAGTGTTTTAGCATCGACGACGGCGACGGCAGCGAAAACGTAACTTTTAAAATGAATTAGCGTTCTTTCAAATTCGCTGAAAATGCCTGATGTAGGCAAAACTCAAATTTTAGAAAGAGTAAGAAAATTTTGTCGTCAACGTCGCTGGTTTACGTCCTCCATGAAACGTGAAATTAGGCATTTTCACGTCGTAGTCGGGCAGTAACGGCAAAGAAATGTGCAAAATAGCGTGAAGCACATGATAGACATAAACCTATTGCTGTTCTGACGTTCTCGTTGCTCTTGGCCCGGCTTAGACGCCAAACTTTTCATGAGCCGAACCTATAAATTCGAATTAAGGCCGACCCAAGTTATTTAGACCAGCTGAATTGATTCAGGCGCCGATCTTATTTGCAACTGAACAAAATTCAAAAGGCGAAAAAATGCTCATTTCCAGGTCAAACTGCTTACAAAATACGTTATAATAATTTATGCATTAGCTTCGGTACATGAAAAGTTCGGCGTCTGAATCAAAGCCGATCCAAAGTCGCTCCAAAGGCGAAATTCCTGACCGGGCTATGAGGAAAGAACGGCTGAGCCGTTCCAAATTGAAACAGGCGTTCCTGATTAATTCAGCGCCAAACTTTTCAAGTATAGACCCTTGTCACCCGGCGGCCATTTTGTACCAAGAGATTAAAAAAGCTTTGTATTTGCACGGCTAGCCTCGTTCTCACTGCTTTTTTAATTTCCTGGGACAAAATGGCCGCCGCGTGACAAAGGTCTATTAGGTTCGGTAAAGTTCAGCATCTGAACCAGGCCTTAAAATGTGAATGACCGTTTTGCATGATATGGTACTGGAAATGTCTGCAGTGCCGGGAATGATGCTTTTACGATTACATAATTTATGCTCGTATGATTTTCTTTCTTTTTCTCTAGGTGAATAGAGCATACGATGCTGGAGATCACCAAGAAGCCGAGAAAAGCGCAAAAAAGGCTAAATGGTTGAATATAATTTCGGTCATATTTGGTCTTATCTTCATCCCAATAATAGTCTATTGGCAGTATTTGCGTTTTAAACAGGTGCAAGAACAAGAAAATAGCTACTAATTAATTGTTTTACTAACGCAAGTTCCCTCTTTACAAGTTTTCAATTCAATTCAATCTTTATTCACACTTTTATAAAATATTTACATGATATATGTAGTAAGGTAGGAATACACTAATAAAGGAGAAGAAGAAGGAAGAAAGAAAATTAATGGCTTGGATAGAAGTGTACGGTTTATTGAAGTTTATTGAACAATCCGAGAATAGTGTGGAAAATTAGTTATTCTCTTGGCTTAACTTCATAAAATTCGTCAGTCTGTAATTATTGATAAGTGTTTACTAAAATGATGTGCGGCGAAAAATGAAACCAGACTAATGAATTCCAGATCCTAAAATGACATTCTCCAACTTAGTTTCTGTGAACTTTCTAAGAAAACAAGTCTGATTTCTATTTAAGGGGTTTACACTTCTGAGTTGCAAAGTATAATATTAGTCCAACGGTGAAAGAAACTTTCGACCAACCCATGCATCCCCGGCCCGCGATAGCCTCACAAGCAGATTAGCATGAACGCGTGACGAACCCTGAGAACGTCTGCGTAGGAGACTATTCACGTTCCATCTGAATTGTAAATATCATCCCTGGGGATATGCAAATAAGTATATATAATAGGAAACACTGGCACGCATTGTCACATTCACTTCACTTTGTCCGACACGAAGGGCGATTGGCGACCCACCCACCCTCCCCAGAGAGTAAGTCGGGTTCCAGATTATTATTATCCTATTCATGTATTCAATTAAGTCTGTCTTGGGCTTGTCCCAGGTCAGACTGACTCTCCATACCTTATTATAATGCCATGAATAACATTACCCAGGGATGAATATTATAGATAGATAGATAGATAGATAGATAGATAGATAGGTACTTTATTAAATACATTGCAGCATAAGCTGAATTGCGTATATTTACTAGAAATACCTATCATGCAACGTGAGTCCTTCGTAAAAATCGTTGTTGCACTTAGTTGAGCCGGGAAGAATTTGCGACCGGCGAAAAAAATTGACCGGACAATCCGTTCAGACGGGGCTGGCTAAATCTATATATTAATATAGTTGTCATATCCCATGAATCTTTATGCCATTTGCGCATGCGCATTACGTCCTTCTTGCCATGTGCTTACGGACATGTTGATTAAATGGTGTTGAGTTCTCCGTGATTTTGCGTCTATTTTGATATACAATTTCCTGGTACATTACAAACTGGCGTCGAGGATAAATAATTAAGTGCTAGCGATGACGACACAGCAATCTGGCACTTTGGAACCATTCGATGGAGCTGACTTTACGGATTACAGTGAACGCTTGAATGCCTACTTCACAGCACATCGGTCAAGTTGCAGCTGACGCCAGCAACGCAGCTAAACGAGTAGACAAGAAAACAGTCGCCGTTACAATCTCCTTGATCGGTAAAACGGCTTTCAGTACGCTCAAAGATCTCTGTCTTCCTGATTTACCTGCTGATAAAACTTACGATCAGCTTACACCAATTCTGAAAAACTACTACAAACCTAAAGTCCTTGAAGTTGCAGAGACCTACCGCTTCCATCACACTGTCCAAAGTGAAACAGAAAGCGTAGCGGAGTATGCAGACAAGCTCAAACGCTTAGCTGTGAACTGCAATTTTGGTCCTTACCTTACAAGATCCCTCAGAGATCAATTTGTTGGGGGAGTGAGAAGTCCGACTACTAATTATTATAACAAGAAACTACTTTTAGAAGATGGGACATTCGATCAAGCCCTCAAGGTCACTCAGGCCGATGAACTGGCTGAAAAACAATCTAAGTTACTCCGGGGCAACTCCGATACTTCTGGTGCTGGAATGCTGCCTTTGAATGCTGTCCACAACAAATTTTTTCCTGCCCAAGAAAGCCAAAGGCAAACAGATCCTAAGTCAGTTTGTTAGCCGATAGCCATATATACACCTTGTTTAAATCGTCGTTAACGCAGTCATTTATGAGTTTTAAATCTGCGCTGGCATAGGTTAGGCTGGTGTCATCGGCATACATTCTAGGTTGTGAAAAATGCAAGCAATTAGGTAGGTCATTAATATACAGTAAAAACAATAAAGGTCCAATAATTGTTCCCTGGGGAACACCACATGTAACTAATTTTGGGTTTGACATTGAGCAATTAATTTGGCAAGTTTGGGTACGATTGTTTAAATACGAAGTAAACCATTCGTGACAGGAACCGCGTAATCCATAATATTGTAATTTCGTTAATAAGATATGATGATCAACTGTGTCGAAAGCCTTTTTTAAGTCTAAAAAGACAACGGCATTGACAAGGCCACGATCAACGTTCACTGCCCAGCTATCGGTAGCTTCGAGTAACGCGGTTACAGTAGAATGTAAAGGACGAAAACCAGATTGGTAACGGGATAGAATACGATTCTCAGTAAGATAGTGATACAACTGGTCGTAGACTACCCGTTCAAATACTTTGGCCACGACTGGGATCACCGATATTGGTCGATAATTGGTGGGATCATTTCGTTTACCAGAATTTTTATACAGTGGAGTAACCCTAGCCGACTTCCACTCATCGGGAAAAATTCCTGTCAACAGTGATTGATTAAATATTAAAGTAAGAGACTCGGCAATTAGATCAGGGCACTCCCTTAATAATTTAGCTGATATAGTATCTAATCCAGCGGCCTTTGATTTACAAAGTTTTGAAAGGAGAGAGTAAATATGAGCAGATGTTATTTCCTTGAAGACAAACTCCTTAGAAGTTCCACAAAGAAACTCTTTGTAGGTGGTATCAACATTCGAAACATTTCGACTAAGCCTTGGTCCAATCTCAATGAAGAAAGTGTTCAACAATATAGCAACTTCTGCTTGATTGCTCGATTTTAGTCCCTGATATTGTATTTCATTTATTATTGTTTTATTAGCAGTGTTTTCGGTGTGGCTCTCCACAACATTTAGCTGACAAGTGCAGTCATGTTCAATCTACATGCAATTACTGTGAGAAGCCTGGGCATCTGACTAAGCCATGCTTCAATAAAAAGAAAGAATTTGGTGGTAACAACACCACTCACCAAGTAACAGCTACTCCAACATCAGGAACGTGTACCAAGGAGGAGCAAGAGTATTGATGACATCCTTATTTCAGGAGAATCAGATGAAATTCATCCGGAAAACCTTCATCGAGTAGTAACACGATTACAGGACTGCGGGCTTAAGCTTAACCCTGATACATTCTTTTTCTTGCTGGATAAAGTAGAGTATCTTGGTACTCCCATTTCTGCTGTGGGGATTTCACCTACTGGGCATGCTGAGAAAGTGCAGGCAATAAAATATGCAGCACCTCCAACAAATTTTTCTGAATTACAGTCATTCCTTGGATTAGCCAATTTTCTACGTAAATTTGTGCCGGATTTTGCAAAGTTTGCTTCACCTTTGTACGGATTACTACGTAAGGAGGTACCATGGAGATAGTCAAAACTGGGACAGGACGCTTTTGATAACAGCAAGGCTGCTCTGGGCTCTGATTCTGTTTTACGTCACTATGATCCTATGGCTGAATTAATTCTACAGTGTGAGGCTTCTTCAGTGGGTGTGGGAGCTGCATTATTACAACCTGGACCTGATGGTTCATTAATTACAACCTGTTTCCTATGCATCCAGGATACTGAACAATGCAGAACAAAATTACTCCCAAATTGAACGCGAGCCATTAGCTGTTGTTTTTGGCGTGACCAAATATCGCCAGTACCTGTTAGGTAGACACTTCAAACTTCTAACAGATCATAAACCTTTGATTACTTTACTTGGGGAACACAAGCCCGTACCCCCACAGTTGGCAGCAGCAAGGATCAAAAGATGGGCACTACTTTTAGCTGCTTATGACTATACAATTGAATTCATAAGGGGCAAAGAAAATGTGTTTGCAAATTTTTTGTCTAGGAAGCCTATTAAATACAAGCAGTCTGCTGCAGAACAGGTAACTGTAAATGGCATGTTTATCGAAGAAGATCAGTTTTTAAATGCCTCCGTAGTTGCTATGGAAACCTTGAGAGACCCAGTTCTTGGAAAGGTGTTACAGTTTGCTCAGCGTGGTTGGCCAGATAATCTGGAACCAGTGTTCCAACCTTACTACAGCAAAAGGCTTGAACTCTCTCATGAAGATGGTATCCTCCTGTGTAACTCGCGAGTTGTTGTCAGAGTCATTACTGGGCCTTTTATTGGCCGATTTGCATGCAGAACACTTGGGTATGGTTAAAATGAACAATAAGCTGGAAAGTAGTTTTTGCGGTCTTGACTTGATAGGCAAATTGAGGAGACAGTTAAATTATGTCCTGCTTGTCAAGAATCTGCCAAATCACCAGCATCCGCCCCAACTGCTTCATGGCCCTGGCCAGGTGGGCCATGGAAACGATTGCATGTAGATTGGGTCTTATCTTGGCAAGATGTTTTTGGTTGTGGTGGATGCTTATTCCAAATGTTTGGAGATAGCACCCAGGACTCATGCCACCAGCACCAACACTATTACTGCTTTGAGACATATTTTTAGTTCCTTTGGTTTACCTGAGCATCTGGTAACAGATGCTCATTCGCAGTTCTCGCAGGCAAGTACCACGAGAAATACAACCTTAGATAAAAGATTTCCCAGCCTAAATTACAGACATCCTTTAGAGTCGAAGGGATTCCTGAAATTCAGGCTAAAGATTTTTCTAGATAGCTTTTCAACGTTTTCCGTTGTTACTCGATAAAATCACTTGATCGCGAACGATTTTTATCGATTTCGATTTTTATCTATGGAATATTCCTGTAAGTAACTACACGCGGAACTGATGTTATTTTGAAAGGGTGGGAGATCTATTTTTTCTGAATCGTGAAAAAACTGGGCGCCTACAAACCGGCCAATATCGGCCGTCAGAAGAAGACTTCAAAGCGGGATTTAAAGAAAAGATAAGAGTTTTTTAAAATTTTTATTTAAAAAGTGATAATAAATTTTTTGATCCTTCGACTCTCAATTGCAACTCCATTGTCAACAAA